CGCTCTTAGGTTGGAGGCCAGCGCTCTTAAGTTGGAGGCCATCGCTCTTAGGTTCGAGGCCATCGCTCTTAGGTTGGGACACCCTGAGACACGTGTTGGAGATTCTTTGGGACCTTTTGGCCTCCTAGGCGCTGAAGGCCGTCAACGAAAGCGCTGAGACCTAGATGCGCCGAAGGCAGGCGCATTGGAGGTTGGGGATTGTTGGGTCAGATACGTATGCACCTGGGCCAACAAGGAGTGAACCGAATGAAAGTCGTGAATGTGAGTTTTGGCCACATCCATGATCAATGAGTGACCTTTTTTGCTTGCTCATCAGGAGGAGAGCGGGCATAAGGTGACTTGTGAGGAGTGAAGCGCGATTTCCGCTGAACCATTTTCCAACAGCATTTCGATTCCAGATCTTCTACAGGCTTGTGCCAGCATGACAAGCGCGCTTCCGGCCGTTTGGCTTTCTATTCTACAGTCACTTGTTTGCCTAGCTCGTAGACAAAGACTCTAGGCACAGAGTTTCACCCCGAATACTTTCGCTCAGCAGTGGCAAAGCATTTCCTTGCTGGGTCACCTTTTCAATCATCACAAGATTGCCAGTCAGCCAACTAGTGGACCGCCTCTTAGTGACTTAGTGAACTACTAAAGCGATCCTCATCCTGTGACAGGGCATCGGTCCATGAAACAACCTCTGGCTCTCTGCAGTTGCTAGCAGACAGTTGCGTTTGCCAACTGTCTCGCACCATCTCAGACCTGCGATGGGTGTTCGACACTCGTGACCAGCGACTTCCATGATTTCCCTCGCCAAGTGAAGGAACATGTTTGTAGTCTATTTGGAGCTTTCATTCGTTCACCTCTTGAATAGTCACTGGAGTAAAGCGCCTCAAGTCTAAGGTTGAGATTGATACCCTCCCGCTTGCTGTTCTGCCGGTCACTCCCACAGCCCCGGGGCGGTTCCCGAGACCCGGGACAACAGTCTCGAGTGGCCAGTTTTGGAGAGAAGGTTATGTGCACTTGGTATGGGCTATGGCGTGAGGAAGAGTTCTCCGGCACCCCACGATGAGCAGTGTGAAGATGACAACACAGAAAACATGTGTCACTTGGCAAGGGGCAACTCACCGAAGTGAATTCAGCCAGCTTTATGCCGCCTCAACTGCTGCACACCCCGGCTGTGCGCACAGCAGCCTCACCGGAGTGATAGAAGATGCGGGGCAGAAGAAGAGGTGGCAGACAGAGAAAACACGCAACAGATGTGCAAAAGATTGCAAAAGCGTCGGCCGTTGCCAGCATCCAGGCAGGCCTCCAACCATCCAGGCAGGCCTCCTCAATTGTCACTACGATCCATCAGATCAATTCATCACCACCTGAGGAAACCAACTTGGGAGGGGCGAGGAAAAAGCTGTGGTCGGGACACAGGCACACGGCAACATTATAGGTCAACCACCATTGGTACTGTATACGGCGTGTTGTTTTCCATTTGTTCTATGCTTACATTGTGTACAGTGACCGGAACAGGTGGGCGCAAGCAAGCCATGACACCATTCCCGCACGCGTCAGCGTAATTAATTATGTTTCCTCTTTGTGGCTTGGAGCCTGTCTTTTGCCAGCTCACCGTTGTTCTCGTGGGTGGAGCTATGGCGCACATCGAGGCGGGGAGCGGGTTTTTGCCCTGCGTCCTGCGGGCAGAGGGGGAACCACCCCAGAAAATGGCAGGTGAAAACTTGTTACTTTAGGGTGGCCCCATCCTGCGCCGGCAGGTAGTCGCCTTTGACAGCTGAAGCTGGCCGAGAGGGGCGGCAGACTGGAGGATAGCTTGGAATGGATAGCCCAAGAAGCCAAGCTGAGGACGGTGGTTTGACCTCTGAAACCTCCAGATCAAATTGCAAAGGAGTGGTCATTTGCCTGGTTGTTCACTAGTTTGGAGACATCCCTGTGTCATCACGTCGGCAGCCTACCAACACTCATGGAAGGCGGGAGCAAGTTAACGGCTGGTTGGTAGGAACTTGCAAGTCACTCGACACGAAACTGTTCAGTTGTGTTTTTCGATATTGTGTTACATCTTGGAACTCACAATCGATCGATTCTTCGCCTTTGCCATTTTGGCGAAAGAGAGCGATCGCTCGCCAGGTTTAAAAGGAGTGATCGCGAAGGTTTTTCTCTAGGGCCTGGGCGAGCGTTCGCAATGTCGTCTGGTGGTTCTGGATCTCGAGTTCCTGCCGCGTTCGAAAAGCAGATGTCTATGGCCTCAGCTCGATGGGATGATACAGCCTCTTCAGGCTCATGGGCTCAAGTCGAGCGTGAAGCTCCTCAAGCAGAGACCTCTGGAGGGATGGATCCAGTGCCTGAGGAGACCCCTGCTCAGCCGGCTGCTCAGCCGCAGGCGTTTACGCCAGCAAAGGCTCCTCCTCCTCCGCCCCCAAGCTCAACAGGGGCAGCAGCAGCATCATCGGCTTCTTCAGCAGCACCAGTTCTACAGGCGGCTCAAGTGTTGGTTGATCATGCCAACGAGACCCCGGCATCTCGCAAGTTGAGACGCCAGCAGGAGCAAGCAGCTCGACGTGGCAAACGAGCTTTTCGCTGGGGCAACATCGCACCCCAGAATTTAGCTCATAACCCGCTGAACAGCAAGCTCCCCGAGCACCTTTCGCAAGTTGGAGCTCAGGAAGGTGAGCGCTCGGTGCTGATCGTTGACAACCGTGACAATCGGATCCAGTCACCTTTTCAGAACTGGCTACTGGATGAGGTATTGACCAATGCACTGAGCTACTTGAACGTCAAGTCCGATCGGCATCTTGTGAGGTCGCCATCCAGTGGCTATCACTTCAACCTGTTCATGGTGAAGACTCTGGACAGCTGCAAGGTGATCATCTGCGGATCCGCCACTTGCTACACGCATGTCCCTTGTGCCAAATGGGACAGTCTGACGGGAGAGGTGCTCTCGCACACGGCTTTTCAGCCTTTCAGGTGGCCTCCAATGACCGAGAACAGTTCGAGCTGGGTCGACGTCAAGATCAAATTGGAAGGCCATCTGCTTGTTCATTTGGAATTGAGGGGCTATCGCTCAGATGAGGATCTCTCGATCCAATTGTGGCACATCTCTGATGCCATCCACTCGATCTTGTCCGAGACGGTGTTCATCCCGAGTGTGGTCATCACAGTCTTCCAGGGGTGGAGAGTGGTGGCGATCAGCTGGGAGGTAGGCGGTCGCCTGTACGCTTGCTCCGAGGGTGGCATCGTTGTGGCATTAGATTATCCGCTGTGCCACTTTGAAGTTCGCTTTGTCGCGACTGCATCGCCAGACGCGTTCGGCGCTGATGCAGATAGACTCGAGCTGAGATTTCTTTCTGCTGGAGACCGCCTGAACATGGCAGCCAGCTCGGCTATGGTGCCTCCAACATGGCTGGCCATCAGCAGGATCTCTGGACCGCTCTTGATTCGCAACGCCAGATGGTGTCGCGAGCATGGAGCCAGAGTCGAATGCCCTGACCAAGCTCTTCAGCTAGCTCAGCTCGCAGCAATCCATGCCAATTGGACCTCGAAGATTGAAGCCTCGACCGAGGAGGAGACGGGACCACGGATTTCTGCCATTTCGGTCGAGTCCAACCCCGCGAACATCCATCTGGTCAGTGAGAGTCCTTTGTTCAAAAAGGAGAAGGTCATGGTAGGTGCAGAAGCTCTAGCCTTGCAGAGCCACGACCCCTTGGATGAGATCGTTGCGGGGGTCGTTCCACCGATCGTTGATGGACCAGCTATTCAGCCAGCCTCTCGTGCACCAAAATTGGCTCCAGCGCTGATAGGTCCAGCAGCGGTCGACGTGGTCACGGCAGTGCCGGTCAGCAGCGCGAGGCCGTCAGTGACAGCACCAGGGCAATCGCCTGCACCGAGCTCGTGGGCTGGGGGAGCATTGGCGCCCTCTCGGCGCACCTTGGAGCAAAGGCGTGCAGAGCCGATGGATTACTCAGCTCTGACCCCAAGTGCTTTTGTTCAGATGGCGCGCGGCTCGTCGGCTTTTGATCGTGATCCTTGGTCTGAACCGAGTGTGGTGATCAATGAGATCGTTGCTGACGTGCCCGGTGGTCGGGCTCAGCCCCGCTCGTTCGGCCCCCCTCGGCCTGAACAGTTCGAAGATGTCTGATCAGGTGAGGCGGTCAGATTTTGAAATTAAAGTGGAACTGGCGTGTCGGAGTTCCCACGCCCTCAAATACGATCGTGCGAAAAACTCAAGCTCGCTGATTTTGTTTTGCACTTAACTTGAACAGGTTTGTGTTGAGCTCCTTTAGGCCTTGCTGTTCAGCCTTGCATGTGACATCGGATCACGTTGATCGACCTTTTTCACATTCGTGCCGATGCGATCGCATGCAAGGCAAGATTCTCAGAAGGGCCGGTTGTGGGAGCTCAGGGGACCAGCTCGCCAGAGTCAGTGTTGGCACTTGTTCAGCTTTTTCAAGAGCTTCAAGGGGCCAATCGCTCGTGTGCTTGCGGAGGTTCCCTAGAGCATGTTCAGACATGAGTGTGTTCACTCCTTTTGACATGTTCATGTCTCTGGAGGTTTGAGGTCTGAGGTGTCTCGTTCGCTCGAACTTCGATGCTCGTTCATGCATGTTCGGAGTGTGGCGAGCGGTCCAACCAGACCTTACTCCAGGATTCCTGATGGGTTTTTCACCTTGTTTTTCATTTTCATAGTCTGGCTCGAGAGTGTTTGTTCGAACATGTCCAACCCGGACCGATGGATCTCTCGCATCCTCGACCTTCCAGTGTTCGACAGCCAGTTCGCTCAGGTGGTCAAAAACACCCCCCTCAGTAGCCTGGCTTTCGTCGTGGCGCTGGGAGCGAGTTCGAGCGCAGAGTTCGTCGAGCGAGTGTTGGGGCTGGCGCGATCGTTGGATGGGGGAGTCGCCCAGGTCTTCGAGGGTCGTGAACTGATGCTCGAACAATTTTGGACGTTAGCTATCGCTGTGGAGAAATCGTATTTCGAATCTACGGCTGTTCAGCTAGGCTTTGGCCAATGTGAGACAGTGCCGACGCCAAGTCCTGACCCGACAGCCCCGCTGAGAAAGCGGGCAGCGAACGCAAGCCTGTCCAACAAATCTTTAGCCCCACCGAAGAAGTCGAAAGGTGGGTCAAAGGATCCCTCAGCAGCATCTTCGACTTCCACACCGTTGTTCGATAAAGAACGGTCAGAGAAGAAGAAGTGGGCCGCTCGGCTGGAGGAGATTGGGTTGAGGGCAGGCGAACACGCGAAGCTGTTCATGGAGAGCCATTTAGGACTTCACTTGTCTGCAGGTGAGAAAACCCAGCTCAGAAACCTCGTGCTCGTGTCAGGAGCTCATCGAACGATGGCAGGACACATCAAGACGTACGAGAGGTTGGAACGCTGGTTCAGCGCCGTGGACGTCCCTCTCTATCCACTGTCGATCGACAAGTTGTTGAAGTATGCATTGTTCCTGAACGATCGTGAATGCGGACCATCTGTACTGCCGACCTTTCGTGCTGCCGTGAAATGGGTGTGCGCAAGGTTAGCCATCGACGAACCCCAGTTCGAGGACCATCGCTTTTTAGCTCTTCAGGCATCGGTGTTGTCTGCAAGGGCCAAGACACTCAAAGAAGCGGTTCCCCTCCCGATCGAAGTCGTTGGTGTGCTCGAGCAGGCAGTTGTGTCGGACGATCGTCCTAAGGTGACAAGGATTTTCATTTGGTGGATCCTATGCATGGTGTTTGCTTCGTTACGTTTTGACGATGCCGTGCATGTTCGACCATCTGAGCTGATCATGCAAGAGGAAGGCTTGTTTGGAGTCGCGTGGCAGACGAAAGTCGAGCGCAAACGGGTCGGTACCAGGTTCGTAGTGCCGAAGATCGGCTTCGTTGCAAGTGAGTGGCTCGAAGTTGGTTGGGACCTCTTTCGAGATTCGTTGAGAGGGGAACGTGACTACTGGATCCCGGACATGGCCACAGACTCGGAGTTCAAGAATGAGCCTCCTCAGTTCGCAAGAGTTCTACAGTGGTTCAAGTACCTTTGTAGGCATGTTGTCGATCGTGCTCACCATCTCGGGAAGCCTGTTCAGGTTGAATGTGCCTTGAAGGTCAACAAGCTCACAATGCACTCCTGTCGTGTTACCTTGCTCGATGCAGCGGTTCACGCTGGACGCACAACGGAAGAGATTGGCCTGCAAGCCAACTGGAAGGATCCAGGGCCATTGGTCCTGAAATATACCAGGAACCGTTCGGCAGTCCCTGCATTGATGGTGAAGCAGCTCGTCAAGGACTTGGTGCAAGCTCAGCACCCAGTAGTGGAAGATCAAGATACGTTGCTCATGGACGCACCCGACGGCGAGCTTAGTGCAGTGGAATACTTCATCAAGAAACCGAGCGCCGGAAGCTCGTACGAGTATAAGTTTCATTGCACCGCACGGGGCAATGAGGAGTTCACTGCATGCAACAAGTTCGCTTTGACGGATTGCTCTTCCGTGGGCGATGTTCTCCCGGACCCATCGGTGTTGCGCAAAGCATGCGCTCGTGCAAGGCCGGAGGTCGCTTCTTTTCACAGCTCGGCGCCGGCAGCTCCCTAATTCGGCCCGCCTTGCCTGTTTATCGTTCGGTCGGAGTCGTGTCGAGGGTCTCGTTCTCGAGGGCCTTAACCACTCTCGCTCCGAGGTGTTCTGGGCTCAAAGAAGGGCGGCCGGTCGGCGTGACGCGCGAGACATGGTCGATCGTACCACATATGATGCAGCAAAGCTGCCCGAGCTCGCACTAAGGCAGATTTTCGGTAGGCAGAGGCTCCCTCCGGGTTTGTGTCGCCTGGTGGCGGATAAGAGTCTCCTCACCGTTGAAGCGTTCGCAATGTTGGG